ATTAGCTTATTAGAATTGTTTAGAATCTCAAACGCTTCTACATATTTCCGTTCCCCTGGCCTGCGTGCAGTCCCAGACGCTCTACTTCATTTGGGAGTATGGGACTGCACGCAGGCTACCGTTCCCCTTGATTACGTATATTATGGTGTATATTTTCCATGTTATTGGTGGTTTCCTTGCATCAACGTTGGTTTAGACATTGAAAAGGGTCCTTTTACTCTCGAGCCTATTATTCTCCCTGTCTCACCCAACGTATACTTTGTTTCGCATGTCAGTAAACGTTCACACTCCACATTCTTGTTCGAAAACGAATTTGTTTGAGCAGCGGGCTTACACGTTTCGCAATTGTTAGGGCAACTTAGTTTCGGTTTAGGAGCCGTAAAGATCTTCGATGTGAACCCATGTCGATTAAAAGTAAATATTAATTATTTTATGTTTATGGTGTGACAATGCATAATGACACATTAAGGACAGACAAAACTTATTTTGGTGCAATGTGTTGTGGTATGGTTTGGTGAGGTAGGGTAAAGGTAGAGTGTAATGTGACTTGCCATGCCAATGTGACTTGCCATGTCATACCATGCCATTCCATACCATGCCACGCTAATAATATTCATTCCAATTATCTTTCATCAACCAAATTCTCTGCAGCACCTGAAACAAGTGTAGGCCTATGAAATGTAACGTGTCGAGTCAAAATCCCAGTCTCGTAATACATATAATACATATTGCTGCATGGAGGGAAGATTCCCACTGGCGAGAACAGCGACATTTTCCCTGGTTCCGAGGTTTTACACGCATCGTTTGTTTTCCCCACATATATTTACTAGTTTGTTTTGTTCACAATTATTCTGGAATACTTGAGGAACACTAAGAAAATGTGCTTCAATAGCGCATTTCAGTGGACATCTGTCGAATGGCTGTGCCTCGAATCGCTTTAAAAAACACAAATATATCAACAATTCAACTGAAGTTGTATTTGGTAGGTATATCAAGTATATATAAATGATATTATATCAAACGGCGTAGGCTAGTATTAAATTGATACAACTGCCCCCACTAGTTGTATATCACATTTAAATATTATCATGTTGTCTATTTCTCGCTACTTAATAGCAACAATACTGAATGATGTGCTTGTCATCATTTTAAACTAAACTTGCAAAATGTGAAATGGAAAGAGTTTCGATATTCACAGTTTCGATTCAGCAATCATATGCGGAGATGATACAAAATTATGTAGCCTTCGTAACAAACGCACAGATGCAACATCAACAGAAATTGCGCGTATGATCATCTAGAGAATTCATTCGCTATATAGTTAGAGTGCCACGTGTACTGTACTTATTTAGATTTTGTTAAATAATAAGAGCAGTATAAATCCTAGATATGTCTATTGAAGTACGTTGTGAAAGAAATTATCAGAAATATTCACTCTATCACACGCTGCAAAATGTGGAAACAAATCATGAATATGCAATCCATAATGCAAAGTAAATAATCTGAGTAATAAACACATTTACTGCGAGCATATAGCCATAGTTGAGAACATTTACATGTTCCGAAAATATTCTTGATATATAGTTAAGAAAATAAAGTACGAGCCTTTTGTAGACTATATTTGTTAGATGAAGACGATAACCGCCCGCGCAAATAATTATAGTTAATTCCGCATAGCTGAAATGTCTGAATGTTCGTAAACACTTGAAATTTTCTCGTCGAAAAGGAAAAAGGCACGATTTTATAGCATATTTGTTGATCAGTTCATTGTAGTTGTCATATGCATTGTTTCATTTCATATTGCATATCATAATAACACTATACAAACTTTGTGGAAGGATACAAGAACTGAAGTTTATTTTACAATAAGTGATGAAGTTTATTTTACAATAAGACGACAATCAATAACATTTCAAAATATGCTACTACAGGAATATTTAAATAATTGGCTAAATCAACTAGAATTACAGTTTTATTCACATTATTATCTTTATTATAAGTATGAAGTATTTAGAGCACAACTTAACAATTACAATATTTAAAGAGAGCAAACAGGAGAGTCTGTGAACTCAGTTGTTGTCTACAGTATATAGTAAAACCGTTATATTCTGCTCACTCCCGTCGTGCATGGCTGGAAGCTAGTTCGGCGATACGCCCTTCGTCAGCTATCAGTCCATGAATATACGTCGACTCGAGTTCGCAGAATAACTGTTCAATATTAATCAGGTAACAAAACAGACCTCATGAATTGTGACCGGTGAGTGTGATGAAATAAGAACTACTGAAAAATAACTTTGCTATGTCCATGCATAAATTATAATATTAACAGACAGGAGCGAAACTTAAGGGAGGATGGGGATGGGGGGAAATCATTAATCAAAGATCTTGCAATTGCACAACTAATACATTAGTAATACATATGATAAAATTTCTTACAAGGTTATAGAGAATATAATATTCATTAAAAGTATTCAAATGTTAGAAAATTGTTAGTCCTCCTTGTTTTTTTATTTCTCCCCCTCCC